CGGAAAAATCAGAAAAATCAATTAAAGACGTAATCAAACAGACGATGAACACTATTAACAGCAATTATTATTCAAACTTATCCAATGGGAAACAAGACACATGACTAAGACAACCAATCAGAACATGACACAGACACGGGAATCACATGACTAGACAATAACCAATGAGAGCATGACACATACACAAGGCAGAGATACATGAGGGCAAGGGAAGCATGACACTGACAGGGACCATGATAAACTCCAAAATAAAAGACATGAAAACATGAACAAGAAACAAAAACCAAACACAAAACCCCACATTACAAATGGTGTCCTCTCTGGCGCCATGAAGGCGAGCAGTGGACAGTTCAAGATACACCACGTCTATAAAAGTGAGAACCCAATATTGCTTATTAATAGAATGTGGAGGCTTCCATCTTGTTGCAACAATTTTCTTGCCCGCTGTCAAGCCAGCTAAAAAGACTCGCTTCTGCATTTTGTTAAGTTGGATGTCAGAAAGATCATTTAAAACAAAGACAGAAGGGGACAAAGGGATCGAGACATTTAATATAGTGGACAGATTTTTCTTAACCATATTCCAAAAACTGGCAATCCCAAATCAGTTGAAAAAAAGTACAGATTTCCCTAATGTTTCATTATTTTTATATGAAAGTCAAAATATTATGTCTGCCTCATCTTCTCAGGAGCTGCGCTGGTGGACATTGGTGAAGCCATGAAGCAGATGGCTGATATTAAAGATGCCCTTGATATCAATGTGAAACAGAACTTCATTGACCCACTTCAGACTCTACAAGACAAAGACCTCAAAGAGATTGTGGTACAACACTGTTTCGTAATTTTTTTTATTAATCCTTCATTTTAAACCAAGAATTATTAAAGGTTCAATATGATTTTACATTTAAAATGTTTTATACCTGAAGGCCTTTTGAAATGAGGTTTGAAAAGATATAAACTCACATAAGATGAATACTCCAGGCAAAATCAGTGGCCTAGAAAAAGCTGATTAAATCTGCATGGAGCATGACACCCCCTTATGGTGGGTGTTATGTTGACCAAACAAATAACTACCCTCTATTATTCCCTCTATTATCAGACACTATCATTTACAGATAGCAGTTTGTCCATTTTTAGTTTGTGTTTAAGGTTAGTGAAGTACATGATTACATCTCATGTGATTTCCTGATAGCATCATCTGAAGAAACTGGAGGGTCGACGGTTAGACTTTGACTACTGACAAGATGCGCGTTAAATATCGCATGCGATTTATCGTGCAGTCCTACCCTCATGTCATTCCAAACCTGTATAAGTTTCTTACTTATATTGAAAACAAAAGAAGATATTTTGTAGAATTTTGAAGAACCAAACAGTTGTTGGTCCCCATTGACTTCCATAGTAGGGAAAGAAATACTATGCAATGGGATAAGTCAATGGGAATCTCATACAGGTTAAAAGAATCTCATACAGGTTTGGAACGACATGAGAGTGAGTAAATGATGACACAATTTTAAATTTTGAATGAACTCTTCATAACTTTGGGACTTCATTATTGAAATATCACATCATTATTCTTGCATTCCATTCTTACATTATTAAGTTTTGTTTGAGTGTCCAAATACATGTATATATACGCTGTATGTGCTGCACACTACATGTGTTTTCCTGTTAATTATATATTGCAGTTGTGCATCAGTAAGGTTTCTGTTCTGGGTCAGTGAAAACGTCATGTCTTTCATTTACCTGTAGGTGGAGCAGGTGAGTCAGTTATCAGCTCTGATTGAGGCAGCGCTGGATTACCATCGACAGTCCTTGGAGATTCTGAAGGAGCTCGACAGCAAACTACAGAACAGGTATCTTCAACTACACATACTGCAAATCAGATCCCATATTCCTAGTGAAAGTTCATTTAGTTTTTTCCCATGTATTTTGTTATCTAGCCTACTGTTGATCTGTCTTCATTGGAAGATATGTTATGAAAGTGTCAACAATAACAAATGCAGGTTTCTTGCTAATATGCACTGAGTTTATGCACATATATTTTGCTCTTGCAGGATATCCACTGCAAGCAGTCGGCCCAAAAAAGAGTTCAAGCCAAAGTTGATTGTGTCCAGTTTGGAGACCGTCGAAACCAGGCAGCACAATGGACTTACCCACACCTCATCAGTCAAAAGCACAGGTATCAACAAGAAAACATCTCAACTTGTGTGCTTCAGTCTAAGCATGGAGTCAGAACATATGCAGAATCTTTAATGTTTCTTTTTGTATTTTAACATAACTTTTATTTTCTATGATTGCATAATATAAAATTCCTAGTTTTTATGTGATCTGAGAACTTTCGTACAGTATATTTATTAATAAAATAATGCAAGTACAGTGCTTATTAGCAAAAAAAATAATATTAACAATAAAAATAATTTTCTTTATTTACCAGCCATTGACTGGTGGAAAAATGTCATTTTCTGCAATAATGAACATATGCTATACAGTCTATTTTGGGGTTTCATTGCTTGTTTCATTTTGTGTTTTTTTTTCCTTCTGGCTTGTTGTTCTTTGTTTTTTTTTTAAGAAACTAGAGGTTCATGAATGGCTTTTGTTGTGTGTTGCTCACATATTTCACCACCATCATGTGTTCTTACATATTCATTCATATTCCTTTCAGATATCCAAGTCAACAACACTGTAAATGGAAAAAGTAGGTGGTAATGTTTATCATGGAAATATTTTATTACTTTTACCTGTTTGGACTATTTATATTTCAGTCACATGATGCAAAATATGAATCAGACTTGAAACTAGAAGCATTGGGAAAACATAAATAGGTTGATGAAAGCAAAATAATAGAATCAGAATCAAAACCAAACAACCTTACAATTCACATCCGTAAATTATAGATGACATGGTTGTTTTTTTGTGGTCATGTTCATGTTCATCAACAGTGTGTTTTATTAGCTGAATCGTGTGTATGTGTTTGTCTCTCATGTTTGATCTCGTGTGTTTTTGCTCTCAGTTGATGAGTTCACACACACAGCACCCATGACTCTATCATGGCCTGAGAGCCCCAATGGTGATAGCAAACGTGAGTATCATCCTGTAGGTTCATGCCTAGACGCTCACTGAATGTGAGGTAGTAGGCGATACCCGGCCCTGAAGAGGCCAGGAGATTGTAGTATTTGGTCGATAATGGCTATTTGAATTCTGCAGAGCTTTTGTTGGAGATATGCGGTCACAGATTTCATGTGGACCCACTCATCTCATCTGCCCACACATCAGCTCTCAAACTGATTTTCTATTACTTTCCTCTCAGTAACCCTGTGCTGTTTTCCATTAGTTGCACTGGATGTTTGAATTCAGCACATAGGTGGTAAATATTTCATTTTAAACCCAATTTTCTCACCCTCAAGTGATTCCAGACCTGTTTTCTGTGGGGAAAAAATCTGAAGAATTTCATAGTGACCGGGTCTTGACAAAAAAAAAGTGTATGCAACTTATTCAAGTTACTGCATTATATTTATGCATTTTAATTGCATTATACTTAATATCTTTTTATAAGGAATATACTGGATGTGAATGAGCCTTAAATGTAATAAGAACTTAAATTTTGTTACGTTTCTTGCTTAAAGCTACAATATAATATAACTTGGGAGGACTTGAGAATATAACACATGAATATAATATGTTTATACTTTTATGGTGCTTTTTTGGAGTAAACCATAAAAAATCCATTACTTGAATTAAAAGAAAGATTAACTAAATAAAATTAAAAAAAATAAAGGAACTAGTTTAAGTTGAAGTACTAAAATAGCTAAAACTAAATAAGCTAAAACCAAAACTTAAGAAAAACTAATAAAAATGACAAAAACACAACACAAAATTACTGAACTTTAAAAATGACAACAAATATAAAAATAAAGTCTAATTCGAAATATTAACAAAAACTATAATAGCATATCAATGGTACTAAAATGACACTGGTTTGACAGCCGTGGTCACTGTGAACATTGTAGGACAAGATCATAAAATTAAAAAAGCAGCATATGTGACCCTGGAGCAATGACTGGTTTTGTGGTCCAGGGTCACATATGGGCTCGGAACAACATAATAAGTACAAATGACAGATTTTAGTGAATGGGTGAACTTTAACAAATGTTTAAATGTGTGTGGTGGTTGTATTTTCCTCTTTGCAGAGTTGGAGTCACACTTGGACCAGCCCTGCTGTCGATCGCTCTACGACTTTGATCCAGAGAACGAGGGCGAGCTGGGCTTCAAAGAGGGCGACGTCATCATCCTCACCAATCAGATCGATGAGAACTGGTATGAAGGCATGATTAACGGCGAATCGGGCTTCTTCCCCATAAACTACGTCGAGGTCCTAGTGCCCCTGCCTCAATGAGCTGAGCCAACAGCCTCGGGTCACTGACCGCATGCCAAACCAGACTGTCTGAACCGTCCACTCACCCAACATCCTCTGCTGCATTCTCACCAATGAAAGCCTTGCGTTTGACCACAGACAATTTAGAACCTTTTACATTTCAGTATTTATTTATCTTATTACGTTTTCCAGGCCTCATGGTGCAACATCTAGATTTTTACACTGCAAAAATTATTTTTAATCAGTGTTTTTGCTTTGTTCGTTAGTAAAAATATCTAAACATCTTTAGAACAAGATACATTTATTTTTAATAATAATAATAATCCATTACATTTTAAAAGATGAAACAGCATTCATGCAGTGTGTCATGTAGCTGTATGTGAACATAAACTATCTGCAAAGTTGTGAAGCCGACAGTGCACGATAAATAAAGTTATTGTCTATAAAATAAAGAGTTGGCTCGCAATTGCCTAAACAAGTCGTCAGGAATTCGAATCTTGTTCTGTTACGGCTCTACGTCATGAAGTAACACATTTGCATAATGTCCGCCCACTTGTTAACACTTGACACTTACCACTGAGAAAGGTCCTGCTCCAGTCGTGCTTGCGAATCAGTCTCTTGTCGATCAGCCACTTCAACCGT